ATCTTTCGTGTTGTTTAAAAAATACCTAAACGCACTGCAAATTTTTTTATATATTTTCTAAACTTATCTTTATGGTACATGTGAATCATTTCAAATTTTCCAATGATTAATTTATTTAACATTCAAATACTACTTAATATGTGGATCAACCCCAATAAAAATCATATTTTCTGGAGAAACGAAAACATTTAAGTTCTCAAACCTATTTAATATTCATACTATGTAGGTGTATGATGCAGCTATGCATTAAAACAAAAATTCCATTTTTTATAATTTTTCATGAAATATGTGGGCTAACTAACCACTATGAAAAAGCTGAATTTTCCGTTAAATACTACATCTACTATTTACCATCTTTCGTGTTGTTTAAAAATTACATAAACGCACTCCAAATTTTTTTACATATATTCTAAACTTATCTTTATGGTACTTGTGAATCATTTTAATTTTGCCAATGATTAATTTATTTAACATTCAAATACCACTTAATATGTGGATTAACCCCAATAAAAATCTTATTTTCTGGAGAAACAAAAACATTTAAGGTCTCAAACCTATTTAATATTCATACTATGTAGGTGTATGATGCAGCTATGCATTAAAACAAAAATTCCATTTTTTATAATTTTTCATGAAATATGTGGGCTAACCCCTATGAAAAAGCTGAATTTTCTGTTAAATACTATATCTACTATTTACCATCTTTCATGTTGTTTAAAAAATACTTAAACCCACTCCCAATTTTTATATATGTTTGTTAAACTTATGTTTATGGTACATGCGAATCATTTCAAATTTCCCAATGATTAATTTATTTAACATTGATATACCACTTAATATGTGGATTAACCCCAATAAAAATCCTATTTTCTGGAGAAACGAAAACATTTAAGGTCTCAAACCTATTTAGTATTGATACTATGTCGGTGTATGATGCAGCTATGCATTAAAACAAAAATTCCATTTTTTTATAATTTTTCATGAAATATGTGGGCTAACTAACCACTATGAAAAAGCTGAATTTTCCGTTAAATACTACTTCTACTATTTACCATCTTTCGTGTTGTTTAAAAAATACCTATACGCACTCAAAATTTTTTTATATATTTTCTAAACTTATCTTTATGGTACATGTGAATCATTTTAAAATTTCCAGTGATTAATTTATTCAACATTCAAATACTACTTAATATGTGGATCAACCCGAATAAAAATCTTATTTTCTAGAGAAACGAAAACATTTAAGGTCTCAAACCTACTTAATATTCATACTATGTAGGTGTATGATGCATCTATGCATTAAAACAAAAATTCCATTTTTTATAATTTTTCATGAAATATGTGGGCTAACCCCTATGAAAAAGCTGAATTTTCCGTTAAATACTATATCTACTATTTACCATCTTTCTGTTGTTTAAAAAATACTTAAACCCACTCCCAATTTTTATATATAATTTCTAAACTTATCTTTATGGTACATGTGAATCATTTTAAAATTTCCAGTGATTAATTTATTTAACATTGATATACCACTTAATATGTGGATTAACCCCAATAAAAATCCTATTTTCTGGAGAAACGAAAACATTTAAGGTCTCAAACCTATTTAATATTGATACTATGTCGGTGTATGATGATGCAGCTATGCATTAAAGTAAAAATTCCATTTTTTATAATTTTTTATGAAATATGTGGGCTAACCCCTATGAAAAGGCTGAATTTTCCGTTAAATACTACATCTACTATTTACCATCTTTCGTGTTGTTTAAAAAATACCTAAACGCACTCCAAAATTTTTTATATTTTTTCTAAACTTATCTTTATGGTCCATGTGAATCATTTTAAAATTTCCAGTGGTTAATTTATTTAACATTGATATACCACTTAATATGTGGATTAACCTCAATAAAAATCCTATTTTCTGGAGAAACGAAAACATTTAAGGTCTCAAACCTATTTAATATTGATACTATGTCGGTGTATGATGCAGCTATGCGTTAAAGCAAAAATTCATTTTTTATAATTTTTCATGAAATATGTGGGATAACCCCTATGAAAAAGCCGAATTATCCGTTAAATACTACATCTACTATTTACCATCTTTCGTGTTGTTTAAAAATTACCTAAACGCACTCCAAATTTTTTTATATATTTTCTAAACTTATCTTTATGGTACATGTGAATCATTTTAAATTTTCCAATGATTAATTTATTTAACATTCAAATACTACTTAATATGTGGATCAACCCCAATAAAAATCATATTTTCTGGAGAAACGAAAACATTTAAGGTCTCAAACCTATTTAATATTCATACTATGTAGGTGTATGATGCTGCTATGCATTAAAACAAAAATTCCATTTTTTATAATATTTCATGAAATATGTGGGCTAACCACTATGGAAAAAGGTGAATTTTGCGTTAAATACTACATCTACTATTTACCATCTTTCGTGTTGTTTAAAAATTACATAAACGCACTCCAAATTTTTTTACATATATTCTAAACTTATCTTTATGGTAGATGTGAATCATTTTAATTTTTCCAATGATTAATTTATTTAACATTCAAATACCACTTAATATGTGCATTAACCCAATAAAAATCCTATTTTCTGGAGAAACAAAAACAGTTAAGGTCTCAAACCTATTTAATATTGATAATATTTCGGTGTATGATGCAGCTATGCATTAAAACAAAAAATCCATTTTTTATAATTTTTCATGAAATATGTGGGATAACCACTATAAAAAAGCTGAATTTTCAATTAAATACTACATCTACTATTTACCATCTTTCGTGTTGTTTAAAAAATACCTAAACGCACTCCAAATTTTTTTATATATTTTCTAAACTTATCTTTATGGTATATTTTAATCATTTTAAAATTTCCAGGGATTAATTTATTTAACATTGATATACCAATTAATATGTGGAATAACCCCAATAAAAATCCTATTTTCTGGAGAAACGAAAACATTTAAGGTCTCAAACCTATTTAATATTGATACTATGTCGGTGTATTATTTAGCTATGCATTAAAACAAAAATTCCATTTTTTATAATTTTTCATGAAATATGTGGGATAACCCCTATGAAAAAGCTGAATTTTCCGTTAAATACTACATCTACAATTTACCATCTTTCGTGTTGTTTAAAAAATACCTAAACGCACTCCAAATTTTTTATATATTTTCTAAACTTATCTTTATGGTACATGTGAATCATTTTAAATTTTCCAATGATTAATTTATTTAACATTCAAATACCACTTAATATGTGGATCAACCCCAATAAAAATCTTATTTTCTGGAGAAACGAAAACATTTAAGGTCTCAAACCTATTTAATATTCATACTATGTAGGTGTATGATGCAGCTATGCATTAAAACATAAATTCAATTTTTTATATTTTTTCATGAAATATGTGGGCTAACCTCTATGAAAAAACAGAATTTTCCGTTAAATACTATATATACTATATAGTATATATATACTATATATACTATTTACCATCTAAACCCACTCCCAATTTTTATATATTTTTTCTAAACTTATCTTTATGTTACATGCGAATCATTTTAAATTTTCCAATGATTAATTTATTTAACATTGATATACCACTTAATATGTGGATTAACCCCAATAAAAATCCTAATTTCTGGAGAAACAAAAACATTTAAGATCTCAAACCTATTTAATATTGATACTACATTGGTGTATGATGCAGCTATGCATTAAAACAAAAATTCCATTTTTTCTAATTTTTCATGAAATATGTGGGCTAATAACCCCCTATGAAAAAGCTGAATTTTCCGTTAAATACTATATGTACTATTTACCATATTTCCTGTTGTTTAAAAAATAATTAAACCCACTCCCAATTTTTATATATGTTTGCTAAACTTATGTTTATGGTACATGCGAATCATTTCAAAATTTCCAATGATTAATTTATTTAACATTGATATACCACTTAATATGTGGATTAACCCTAATAAAAATCATATTTTTTGGAGAAACGAAAAGATTTAAGGTCTCAAACCTATTTAATATTCATACTATGTCGGTGTATGATGCAGCTATGCATTTAAACCAAAATTCCATTTTTTATAATTTTTCATGAAATATGTGGGCTAACCTCTATGAAAAAGTTTAATTTCCCGTTAAATACTATATATACTTTTTACCATCTTTCCTGTTGTTTTAAAAATACCTAAACGCACTCAAAAAATTTATATATGTTTTCTAAAATTATATTTATGGTACATGCGAATCATTTCAATTTTTCCAATGATTTATTTATTTAACATTGATATACCACTTAATATGTGGATTAACCCCAATAAAAATCCTATTTTCTGGAGAGAAATAGGATTTTCCGTTATTTTCGGAAGAAACGAAAAGATTTAAGGTCTCAAACCTATTTAATATTCATACTATGTCGGTGTATGATGCAGCTATGCATTAAAACAAAAATTCCATTTTTTATAATTTTTCATGAAATATGTGGGCTAACCCCCTATGAAATAGAAGGCCACGCAAATCAACTGTTTTATATAATAAAAAAAACTTATTAACATGATTAAAATTAATTTTAAAAAAACTAATATATAAAAGATAGACAAAATATGTGAAAACCAACCTACAGCTTGAGAGACAAGTCTATATCAGTATCCTTGCAAGTATCACTATCTGCTTGTTCTTGTTTCTGGCCTTGCTCCTTATTCTTATGAATGCTGTTCTCTAGGTTTGAAATCAATTTTTTGGGAAAGACGTCAGTCTTTTGGCACGAGAGGTGAGCCAGGAGAGGAATATGGGAGTTTATGTTATGCCCTCTATTTCCTAATCAACATCTGAAGATGTTGAAGGGATAAGCCTTCGATTTACCAATGTTGGGATTGTGACGAACCCCAAGACCATACTGCGAGCTGTTGCTACTGCTGAAGGAATCACCACTTGGTTGGTACTAGCTGTAGAAGAAGATCCCATGATAGTTCATCTCCAGTTCTTTACATTTTTTGCCAGTGATCGCTTCTGCTTGTGAGCGTTCTGGTGTCCTCCTAAGGTTTGAGACGTAGAGAACTTTTTCTTGCAAAAGGTGCAACCAAACATCCTCGCATTAGCCTTGTTCTTTATCCCTTCTGCCTCATCTAAAATTCGGTAACCACAGTTTCTTATGCTGTCTTTGTTGAACAAGAAGCAAAACTTTAGCCTCGGAGTCTCACTCGGTGGCTCAAGCTCAACCGCAATCCTCTCTTTCATTTTCCTGTTGGTATCCGTTGAAAAAACCATCTCATGCGAAGATGATGAGATACTGCTGGAGGAACAACATGATGTGGGCGTAGTCAGGTTGACTTCCATAGTCAAAGGAACAAAATAAGTTTTTCTTTTCGAGGTGTGTGTTTGTTTGTGAATAATATGAGATGTGAGAGGAACACGAGTTGGTTCTATCTATTGATTATTAGGGTAATCATCAATATCTGAAAATCTGCATAATTATGGTAGATAATCCCAAATTTAGCAAGTAACATTGAGTAAACGGCTTATTTAGAGTCTAATATGCATTATGTTGTTGATTCTTTAAAAGAGACTCGCTCGAAAATTATGGCTAATGGTAGTAATTCGTTTTCTTCTTTCCTGTTTTCATTCCTACAATTCTCTATTATCGTTTATCTATAATTTCAAATGAGCAATTAATCTCATTATTTGGTAATATATATTGTCTAACTTCTGTTCGTTTCAGTTTGCTCTTTCTTTCTTTCTTTCTTTCTTTCTTTGTAACAAACTTTTTAAAAAAAATTGTTAAAATAATGAATATGTAATCTCTTGTTAGGAAACATAACTCCACGTCTTGAATCTGTAAATCAAGATTAAGCCAGTTGTATTTACTAATCTTTTGGTTTGAATTTAAGAAGAGAAAAAAGACATAAACTTCAGTTTTATTTTTGTCCTTAAAGATCCGTTACATTTATTTTTCTCTCTTTTGTATTGAAATGGATATCAATAAAACTATTTACTTGGCACGAACTTTGACTAAAAAAGTATTTGGTAATAACTGAATATCAATAAAACTTTACACACAAGAGTTTACGAACTTGCGATTATGAATTTAGAGCAACTCCATCGGGGAGTACTTGACACAAGGTACTAACAAAAGTGGAAAATAAATAAATCAGAAAAGCCAAATAAATGTAGTACCGCTCACAAAAATGCTATATGTAGTATCCGCTCCTCAACTTTTGTCTCCACGTGTTATATTTTGCTTGCATGTTGTTCCACATATTCCTATCTAAATAATTCAACTGTTTTATTTAAATTTAAATTTATGTATGAAAGTTAACTAATATTATTTTGTTTTTAAGGACCTCTTTTCAAGGAACTAACCGATGGTGTTGTTCTTATAGTTTTTGGATGTTGAAGCAAAGTAAGTAATAATAAAAAGTGTTTTTCCTTTTTCATAGTTTAGGGGCATGAGTATGACACTGAAAGAAATTAATGCAGTGAGAATGGACCGACCATGGGGATGAATCAGTGTTAAGGAAAGCAAGGACCGGTGGTGATATGTGGAGCACATGTAAGATGCATGGGTCGTGGCTCGTTTAGTCATATACTGCTTTCCTATTTAATTACAAAACCCCAATTATTCAATTCATATTGTTTTCATCTATGGCCCTACTCTTAAATGCTTCTCCAATATCCACCCCACATATTTCTCTTTTATATTATCAACCGGTGGGGGCGTGTTCGTTGTTTGCAAGTAAATGTTCATTTATACCCGATTTAGGTTATACATATTATTTATTTGTACATATTTTTATGGACCAATCCTGATTGTTATTTACATGCGATGCAAATATCTTGCGTTATGCGCAACCACAAATGTGGAATTTTTCAAATTCTAAGGAAAATAACTGTGAATTTTACTTACAAACATGTTCAATCAGTGGACACATTTTTTTTATGAATGAATCCATAAAACAATAGTTTTGTGGTATTTTTAATTACAAATTTGGTATATGTATATGAGCAACATTTGGAAGATAGTATTCTATATATCATATTGAAACGTGATATAGTATCTCATCTTTGTTATTGATCAACCTATTTATCATTTAATAGTCTTTTATAATTCTTAAATGAACATGCAAAACCTATTTACATTAGTTATATCTTATTATATATACTCACTTAGAATGTGATTAATAAAAAACAAATTACTAGCCTATACGTGAAAGTGATATAATATATCAACTTTGGTATTAAGAGAAAACGAAAAGTATTATAACTGATCAACCGATTTATCATTTAACAGTCTTTATAATTCTGAAATGAACGTGTAAAAAACTATTTATACATTAGTTATATATATTTATATTCACGTTAATTAGAATGTGATTGATAGCAAAAAATATTGTACTATTTACTTTTGTTGTTTGAAATGCAAAGTTATATATATATGAGGCTATAATTGTTTGCCATAACTATCATCTAAAATTATTATTTCCATGATATTAAAAATATTTTGAGTCAAAATTTAAATAGCTAGCCAAATGATGGTGATCTAGTGATAATTTTTTGAGGTTTGATATGTAATTGTATCAGTTTTGGATTTGATTTATTATGTGAACTAAATTATTAATATTTGGTCATTTAGCCTTCGATTTTGGTTCATGTGGTTAATATGGTGATCTGTACATTCGGTTCACCATTCTTGACATTAGTCAGAATATATTCCAAATTCAGATCAAACAATGTGATGTATTTTCAAACTAGTTTCAATCTAACTGTACCTCACATACAAACTAAGCTAAAATTAGCATTTCATTTTCAGCATTACGTTTGGTTTCTCATTCTTACTTACACACCGAAGTCCAAAAGTAAAACAAAACAAAAAAAAACGTACAAGACACCACCAGGCACCATATATATACTTGATAGATACCATATGTCTTATATGCACATACCCTCTCTCTTTCTCTCTCACGCTCTGACTCTCCCAAAGGCTACAATGGCAACCCGTGGATCTGTCCGTCCTGCGTCACCGATGAGCAAGCAAGACACGGCCACCTTCTCGGACAAGATACCGTCGACCAAACAAAGGTTCTCTTCTCAGACACCAGCTTGTCCTTCCTTTAGAATCTACTACTACGATGGAGCCGCCGGTTCCATCCCTTTCGAATGGGAGTCCCATCCCGGAACTCCCAAGCACAAGCACCCTTCCTCCGAGCTACCTCCGCGGCCTCTCACCCCTCCGCCGTGTCATTTGTCCTTATCCAGCGACCAAATTCGTCGTGGTTCAAAAAAACCCATCAAGAAAATCCTTGCACTGATCCACACCAGACTCTTGTGGTTATCAGCAGGTGGTCACAAGAAGAATAAAAAGGTCATGAAGCTGTCGTCACCCTCTCTGTCGGAGAGGGCGCTGATCGATGAGAGTGAGTACCAATTGTTCAAGTGTCCGACAAAAGGCAAGGTCATGAGAAGATTTTCATCCTTTGACTCTTCTACTGATCACTACCCCATTCGCAGATCACAACCCACCTCTAGCTCCAGAATTCGCGGATGTTTCACCTGGTAATTAATATATTAATTACATCATAAAATCTGGAAAAATAAAACTTGGAAACTTTTTATAAATCGTGTGTTTCCTAATATATTTGTAATCTTCCCATCGTCTTTATTATACTTAATCAACCGTGTCGGTAAAAAGATAATGCTCCAAATAGTATCATGCTATTACTTTTTGTCATTGTCTAGTAACAGAGTGAACAGACGCAACTGATCAAAAGATTACAAGAGTCGCATACTCCCATTTCATTAGGCTTACTATATTTTTGAAACTTTGATGATATTTTGTTGTCAGTGTAATCTTAACATGCTTCCGTGTGATTGTGAGTTTGAACAACCCTTTATCTTAATTTGTGTTGAATTAAGCCGTCGTCGTCTTTCAAGCAATTAATGACAACACCTGCAATGGGATTTGGTGGTTCCATTGATATGTTATTCTTTCCAATGATACATTGGCTTGGCATTATTTCTAAAATCGGAACACGATATTGCTGGAGTCATTCATTCGGTCATTTTATAATGGAAAATATACACACATCTTTTTATATTATATGGTCTTAGAGTAGTTAAACTAATTTAACATTTTTTAAAAAATTATGTTCTGTTAATTTCCAGCGTTACTAATCAAATCTAGTGTTGCAAATGACCAAAGTTTTTTAGATATGAATAAATGCTCCAATATTGAAGAAAAACAACAATAAATAATGAGTTTTGTTTCAACAAAAAAAAAAAGAGTTAATGAAGTCAACTGACTGAAGGGCAAACACACATGAGGAAGTCGTCTTAAGGTGTCGGCCGCTGCCATTGGGACGTGTGAGCACTCGCCTATCGTGCGCGTATTAAACTAATGAATCTGGAAGCCCGTTTGCTACGAGGCCCATGTATTTTCAAATTACTTATTTTTTTGTTATTAAAAAAGAAAAGTGATGAATTTAACCGACGATGCAAAATAAAATATTAAAAACTATGGGAGCGAGCATGGTCGCCTCTCGTCGTTTCCGACGAAAAACGAAGCTGCTTCGTGACTATACAGAGATATCTCTATCGCTCATGGTCTCTTTATTTCGGATGTGGTCTCCAAAGCAAGTGAGTGATCTAGTTTTGATGTAAGAAGATGCGGCAGCAGAGTTGGGATGAATTTCATTGAAAATCATCTGTTGCTTCTTAATATCATAAACCATCTTGTTTAGAGGCTGAAACACTCCGTTAGCTAGGCTAGGCTAGTGTAATTCTTTTTTTTTTATGATGTTTTGATGATCACTTCCGTTATTACGGGCTCTTAGTTTGAGCAAAACATTACACTTGGAATATATATATATAAGTTAGCAATATATGAAGGTTTCAACAAGGAAAGTTTGGAAGTGAATTAGGATTAACGAGTACTAACCAGGGGAAGAGACAGATCTTGTGTTTAGGATTTGTGGAACTGAAAGAAACGATGAAGAATATTCAGTGGCAAGCAAAGTTCAAAAAATTCCGTGCCGTTATAAAGAAACTCCTACTTAAGTAAGAGAAAATTGGAGTTCAAACGAGATGTTGTAAGGAATTCAAAGTAGGATCTCTCTTTTATGTGTTCCATGTTCGCAGCAAAGACAAAAAAAAATATTGTTGTTATTCAGTTTATTAATCTTTGGGATCCCAACAAATCTCATTTGGTACTCCTAACGCCTCCATCTCCTTTCCAGAAAACATTGAGATCTTCAAACAATTTGTACGGAGGAACATACGGCCTCTGCTGATGCTGCTGAGCCTGCCCCTCCACCTCAGCACCTGATGGTCCCCCCGCCCCTCCTCTAGCGTGAAAGGAGTTTGAGTATTGCAAGTTTCTCTCAAATACCTTATTCTCACTACCACCTCCTTGGCTCCACAGTGTTGTGTCATTATAGTTGTTACCGTTCCATTGTGCCTGAGGATAACAGTATGAAAACTGCTGCTGCTGCTGCTGTCCCGATGGAGCAAACTGCTGCGCATTTTTTGGGACTTGAGCTTCTTCCTGAGATTGTGCCCAGGGGACTACGTAGCTGTTCATAAGAATATGATCATCAGCCAAAAACCTTGTGTTTGCTGGAGCCTGCGTTTGTGGGGAGGGCAGAGCTGTTGTTGACAAAGTTAGGCTGAGAAGTTCCACAATGTCCTGCTCCGACTTGCTTGTTGTTGCTGTGTCAAATAAAGCTAGATCTTTGCATTGTGTATTGGCTTCTGTTTCTGCTGTATTTTCATTTTTGTTGCCTAGAAGCAATGTTTCTTCCTCTTCTTCTTCATCATTTACTAGAGCGAGACTGCAAATTCGTAGACCATGTTTATAATAAACTAATTTTTGTTTTTTTTTTAGCAGGTTTATGTAACTTGAGACTAACCTTTTGGTTAACTGGATAAAGTCATTTTTAACATCCTCTCCCTCCGCATGTGTTTCACTTTCACTGCTCGATGATGATGATGAAGAAGAGTCAGACTCAAGAGCAGCAGCGGCATCATCATCACCATCACCAGTCTTAATTAGGACAGAGCTGGTCGTCTCTCTTGTTTCTGGAGCCTGCAACACAGGAAGAGAGACACCAGAGGCGATAGCGTCGTGTCTGGCGAGCGCTACCTGCAAAGAGTCATTCAGCTCGAGGCCTCGCGCCATAACATCCTCGTCCCTGAAAAAAGAGGAAGAAGGCTGGTAACATATGTTTCTCATGAGTAAAGAAAATGATGAAAGGAAGGTTAGAGTGGGACAGACGAAGTTGTTGTGAGCATCTGGATTAGTTTCTTCTGATTAGATCTGCACTGCTCTACTAGATCAACTATGAGGTCATCTTTCAGGGCCTGTTGAAAGATTTAATATTATACCCTTTGTTACATCAACAAGTGAGTAAGCATTGTATGTATACTTAAAAGGATATGATTGGAGATTTTTTACTGATTTATCAGAGGGATTTACGGCTTGAACCATAACGCTCATGAGATCCATGACAGTTCTCATGGATTCAAGACTTGATAAACTGAAACAGTGAAAAAAAATGGAAGATCAATGTTTTGAGAACAAAAAGAACAGGAGGGTCACCTACCTTAGACTCTCAATTTCAGTAGCCATTGTTTCGTCGAGCCTTTTAAATGAACCGATGGACATTAAATTCATGGAAGAAGAAGAGGAAGAAGGTGCGAGCATGAGGGGTGCTTCTTTTGAACGTTGTGGGAATTTCACACCAGACCGCTGCCAATCCAAAAGAGCTAGCTATTATTAGTTGAGAAGCAGATACACAAAAATGTTATTTAAAAGAAGCTTAAAATTTTACGATTAGCTCTTGGTAAGCCCAGTTGTAATGAGGGTATTTGCAAGCACTGAATGCTTCATTCCAAGTGTCCAACAATATCAAGATTTTGTTCCTTACTTCAAAATCACCCTTTTTCACACACACATCCCAAAAAGAACAAATTTTATTGTTCAATCCAGAAAAAAAAGAGAAGTATATGGAATGAAAAAAAAGAAAAGAGAAGAAGTTAAAATCACCTTCTTCCTCACAATAATTTTAACCATATCTTCAAGCACATGCTTCTCAGCGATATGAGAATGCACAAACTCCCCACAGTTTTTCAGCATTGCCTCCAACAACTAATTATATGCGATGAAAATACGCAATATCCATTATATATATTCCGGCTCAGGTTAGTAGTTACAGGCAGTAGCATGAGGAGGGTTTATAGGGTTAGTTTTATCAACTAATAAAACAAATAGAGGTATATATACCGTTAGAGTGAGTAACTGCACTTTAGAGCTCTTGTGCTGCAACCTTCTCTTCACAGCTTTGATCGCATCTTTGCAGTGACTGCCATTATACGAGTTACATGATTCATATAATATGCACTCTTTTTGGTTGGTCATCAAATTCAAGTTACATCATACCAGCGAGTAGAATTAAGGGAATCGCAAATAGCGATGATAATGGTCCAATCAGGAGTGAGGAGAAGCTCGCTGGTGGCCTTATCGACCGCCACTGCGATCGACGTGAGCGCTAACGAAGGAGAAGAAGGCCTCATCATGCCAACAATAGTCCCACTGCTCATAAAGTCCAAAGCTCATTCAAGACCATCTCACATCCAGGAAAGTCTCTACATGAAAATGATAAAGGTTTAATCTATTCAGAATTATTCATATTGCTTCAAAATACAAAGGAGACAAGACTTACCACAAACAGGCCACCTCTTAAGCCTCCTTATCAGCTAAAAAAGATGTGGTTCAAAGAAGTTAAAGGCGTGGTCAACACTCTCTATAATAAGCTGATTTCACTTCCTTGAGAATAGTCTTTTGACTAGCCAATTTATTCTCTTCTTCTTCAGTGTGATTTATGCTTAAATTTCTCTTTTTTATTTATGTATTTTGACTGCAACAAGCTTGTACACGAGCTATATAAAGCTCCTCTCAATTTATTGTAAAGGCAAATTTGATTATTAAATAAAAATAGAGTTTTTTTCTCTTTTAAAGCTTTTATTAGGTGGAGATCCGCGCTATGCGAGGAGTGAAAAAAACCTGTTAATATATGTTATATATTACCTAGATAAAAAGCAGTTTGTTATCATTAGTTTTGATCAAAATATGCGACAAAAGTATAAATATTCTTGTTAAGACAAACAAACGGTTAAAATTTACCCTTAAAAGTAAATCACTTATTCACTTTACTTTTTTTTAGCAAACCTACACACTTTACATGCATTATACTTATTACCCATAATCATCCAAATGTGCTCAATTTCTTAACAGATATTTAACCATCAAATCATTTTTTTCTCTTCTGGTGTTAATAGGTTGGTAGTAGTGCAGTACAAATGATTATGAATTCTAATATATAATGCGAGTGATTAAGAGTTCTATCGTAACCTTAATTAGGCTACGAATATTCTATAATCCAATTCTCCATTGATTTTACATCCTAAATTCACGCTCTTCCTCTTTGAAGACATCGTGTTGTGTTGTTCCCTTTCATATTTATTTCCGGTCTGACGATGGCCTTGATAAATCAGTCGGTTATTTTTTTTCTAAAATGTCTTATTAATAATACAAACGATACATATATTTGTATAATTTTACAACGGGGAAATCACACAAAGTTCTTTTTCAGAACAAGGCCACATTCAAAAGTGCATAGTTTAAAGCCAAAAACATATCTAATACGTGACCGAGCTCTCTCTCTCTCTCACACACACACCCACGTCTGATCTGATCAGCTGCTTCCAGCGGCAGCACGGTCTTCTCGGTTAACATCATCAAGAATGACGACGAGAGAGGCAATGAAGGCATAATCCACGTTTGGATAAACCGTCACTGAGAAATTGTCCTTTCCCAAGAACACGCTCTGCACCGTGTGCTTCTTGTGCATCTGTTTCATTATATACATACAAAACCATACCATTTAATCACCTATAGTATTCAAGAAAATTTAGTTGAACCAATAAATAAAAGTTTTTCTTTTTTCCAATTTTGGTTTAATGAGTACTTGATTGTGTAACAATTCATAACACACATGCTAAACTACGATTTACATACATGCTAAGCATTTATTTGTTTATTCTGGATAAACTGATGACCAGAACCTCAAAAATAAAAGATCTGAAAGCATTTAACTTAAGATCTTGAAAATTGATCCCAACTGATCTAAAACCGCTAAACCAACTCAGACAAAAATATCTGAACCATAACCAGCTATAAACATGGTTGTTACACATGTGAGACAGAGATGACATAAATATTGATTACAATAGGACATAGGCAGGGTCCACTCGAATCAATATGTGAAGAGAAAGAATGGGAAGAGTTTTACTTGGGCAACGATGGCGTCAGATTCGCCGGCGTAGACGACACAAGAACGCTCGAACCAGCTCCCTTTGACCCTAAAATCGCATCTCTTCTCTTCCTTATTGTGACTCAAAAACACATCAAGTTTGGTCTTAAACTGAAGCATCGACGATCTCTTCACCGTGTACAGCAGATCACGCTGCTCCGTACTCCCACCTCTAAATACTTGCCACCTGTCATGCAAACTCACCATCTGCAACGAGTTTAAGTTAGTTAAAGCCCTAGCTAGTACATACAAACTAACATTACATAATTAACTTGTGTGTGAGTACTCTACGGACCTTCTCTCTCAAAGTCAAGACCGGAGCTCCAGAACCATCCAGCAAAATCCTCTTGTCGTGAAGACCAAACACCGGCTCCTTCACCTTGAACAACAAGTTTCCGTTAACGTCCGTGATAACGAAGTTACCGTCAGTAAACTTCATCATCTTCCGCACGATCGCTAGATCCACGGGGTAGGGAGCGCAGAACCTTGGATCCACTATCACTCCGGCGATTCCACCGCCTTGTGGAGGCGGAGGAGCCGTGCCTGTGCCTGGTGGGTAAGCGTACACATAAGGCTGCTCCATTTTCTTCTTTCTTCTCCTACTTAGGCAAGCTATTTTTGTACTACGTATATGCTTCTCTCTTTTTCTTTTTCTTTTTTCGCCGCCTGGTTATACCGAGGAGATAAGTTCAGCTTAAAGGACTCTATATATTGAGCCTAGTTTTGAATTCCATTTGTAACAGATTTTAGCCCACGGGCCTTTTGATACAGAGGTTGACAAAAGAAATGTGGAGTAAATATTGTTATTCCACTAAATTTTAGACAAAAACGAGTGAGTATTTTTCTTTGCTTAACTACAATATTAGAAAATAATATTTCACTTGATTAGTGAAAGTTAGAGTAATACAAGATTTAGCGTAAATAGTTACTCTGTAATGACTAAACAGTTGGAGGCATTGTGTAGGTGCATATCCTGCTCCTTATAAACTAGCATTTAATTCTCTATCATTACCTAAAATAGTCTGGTTATAAATAAGTACGGTCACGCCTTGGAGTTTGAAAATAGTTTACATTTATTGTTGGGCACTTCTTCTCCATAGCATGATATTTGTCTGGGTCAATTTGTCCATAGAATAACTATTTTATTTGACTTTTAGCTATCTTGAATATGTATTACATAACCATAAATTAGGACACTACTAGAAAGAAAAGCCGCACTTACTAATTTAAAATGCCACAAATGACAACTTGTCGAATATTTCTTTGTTAACGGAGGATCACTAGTTTTAGAGTTCAAGACAAGAATATATACTCATTTGATGACAACAAAAAAGATAGCATATATCTCCTAATATTTTCTTGGTCGGTTTGTTTATATTTAATATCTGTGGTTTTTTGTGTGAATAATTACAGAGACAGTATCTATAGATATTACGATGATAAAGGTATTATTAGATGCTGTAAGAAAAAAAAAATGGAAGTTTACTAATCGATAATCGCTGTGGAAGAAATGATAAGATTTAAGGGAATAATTAAAGTAATATTAAAAAGAGAGAGATATTTAGGAAGTGAAAGTACTGTCCGCACTCGAATCTGTCCTTCCTCGCATGCTTACTCCACCATATATACACATATGACATATCCAATGGCCTAACTTCTTGACTGCGACATCTTCTTTTTATCTTTACCTTTATGCCCCTCTCCGTCCTTCACCGTACGGTTGGTTCTATATGTAATTCATATTCAGTTACACAAATACCCTCTTTTCTCTCGTATGGTGAGAAAATTATATTATTTCTAAATACATCAAAATAATCAAATCCAAACCAGTTTTTTTTCTCAAAAAAAATATATAAACAGGTTACATTTGTCATCTTTTATTTTCTTTTGTACATGTTTATGATATTTCATTATTTTCCAAAAAAAAAAAACGATTTGGATTTGAACAGTAGAATAATTAATCTAGTTGTTTAAAATTATTTCTTCTTATCTTAGTTTATGTTTTTATAGATTATAAGCATATGTTCTCTATGAAATAGCTTGGTATTTCAGTTGAAAAATGTATCAAAAATAAAATAGATATTTTTATAACTAATTGAATTTGTAGTGAATACAGAATTACTTGAGTACAAAAGAAGTGAATATTTTTATAAAAAAAATGGAGAATTCAAAAATTGGATGATTCAGTAATGATTTGGTAAGAGGAAGGAGTAATATGTAATATCGTAATATCCTTCTCCTTCAAGTCTTGTTCTGTCCTTTCCTCTGCTCTCCCATAGAAACTGTGAGGATCTGTGGGTTTTTATTTTTTAAGTTGTTTAAAATCCTCATCAAAATATACTGTTTGTCGAAAATCAGTAAGTAGGATAGAACAGCAGGGCTGCAATGAAGAAGGGGAAGCAGATGAAGGGTATCGATCTTCTGTCGGAGGAGGTGGTGTTGTTAATCGTGGACCTCATCGCGGAGAACCCGTGGGATCTAAAATCTTTCTCCCTAACCTGTAAATGGTTCTACCAAGTAGAGGCCAAGCACCGGAGGACCTTGAAACCTCTCCGGGCGGAGTATCTCCCTCGAATCCTGTCGAGGTACCGGAATACCTCCGATCTCGATCTTACCTTGTGTCCGCGCGTCACTGACTACGCGCTTAGCGTCGTCGGGTGTCTCTCCGGACCAACGCTCCGGTCGGTAGACTTATCGCGCTCAGGGTCGTTCACCGCGGCGGGGCTGCTGAGATTGGCGGTGAAGTGTGTAAGTCTGGTGGAGATAGACCTGTCAAACGCGACGGAGATGAGGGACGGGGCAGCGGCGGTGGTGGCGGAGGCGAGGAGCTTGGAGAGGCTGAAGCTGGGGAGATGCAAGAAGCTGACGGACATGGGAATAGGATGTATAGCGGTGGGATGCAGGAAGCTGAAGAGGGTGAGCTTGAAATGGTGTGTCGGCGTCGGTGATTTAGGAGTTGGTCTGCTTGCCGTCAAATGCAACCACATTCGCACCTTAGACCTCTCCTACTTGCCGGTCCTTTTTTCTCTGACTCTATTCAATTACATTACATTCCATATCTTTTAATTGGTCTTGGGGTGGAATCATTCTATATTTGAACATGTTTCCTTCATCCCCCCATACAGATCACAGGCAAGTGCTTACATGATGTTCTCAAACTTCAACACCTTGAAGAACTTCTTCTACAAGGCTGCTTCGGTGTTGATGATGACACTCTTAAATCACTCACACATTCTTCCACCTCCTTAAAGGTAGTTTTATTCTACCACATATATACCGTTGAAAGACTCTTACCATATAGTTGATCGTTTTAAACTCCATCTTATATCAGTGGACAGTTGAGATTTTTACTTTAAAAAAAGAATAACTGTCTTCTTCTTCTCTGCAGAAGCTTGATGCATCGAGCTGCCAGAACTTAACTCAGAGAGGTTTAACCTCACTTTTAAGCGGGGCCCGATGTCTTGAGCGCCTTGATCTATCACACTCTTCTTCTGTAAGTTCTTCCTTTACTCATCATCTCATTGATATGCCTGTCTTATCGAGTTTTTGTTTTCTCCCATTTTAGGTCATCTCATTGGATTTTGCAAGTAGCTTAAACAAGGTTTCAGCATTACAGTCGATCAGGTTGGATGGTTGTTCGGTAACTTGTGATGGGTTGAAGGCGATAGGCACTTTGTGCATTTCCCTCAGAGAGGTTAGCCTAAGCAAATGTGTTAGCGTAACTGATGAAGGTCTCTCTTCTCTAGTAATGAAACTCAAACACCTTAGAAAACTTGACATCACGTGCTGCCGGAAACTAAGTGGAGTTTCAATCACCCAAGTCGCTAATTCATGTCCCTTGCTAGTCTCTTTGAAGATGGAGTCTTGTTCTCTTGTTTCCAGAGAAGCCTTTTGGTTGATCGGACACAAGTGTCGGCTACTCCAAGAGCTTGACTTTACTGACAATGAGATTGATGATGAAGGTTCTAACTTTTTCTCACACTCTTTTTCTGATTTTTCCAGATAAAGTAACTCATCGTGCTTTGCAGGACTAAAATCGATATCTAGTTGTGTTAGTCTTTCCTCGTTGAAACTGGGAATATGTCTTAATATAACAGACAGAGGACTCTCGTACGTTGGTATGGGCTGCTCAAATCTCCGCGAACTTGATCTCTACAGGTTAGTCAACTTACTCATTGTGTGTGTGTGTGTGTAAGTTTCTTATCTCCAGTCTCTTGTTTATCTACTCCACCAGGTCGGTTGGAATAACAGACATAGGAATCTCATCCATCGCACAAGGCTGCTGTCATCTCGAAACAATAAACATATCATACTGCAAAGATATCACAGACAAGTCCTTGGTCTCATTGTCCAAATGCTCATTGTTACAAACATTCGAGAGCCGGGGATGTCCTCACATCACTTGCCAAGGACTTGCTGCCATTGCTGTTCGATGTAAGCGACTCACCAAGCTCGACTTGAAAAAGTGTCCATACATCAATGACTCCGGGTTGCTCACTCTCGCTCACTTTTCACAGAGCCTCAAACAGGTAAAGAAAGACTCAGGAAACCTTCCGTAGTGAAAGGGTTGAATCTATTTATTTTTATGAATGGATGTGTTGTTGTTGCAGATAAGCGTGTCAGAAACGGGGGTGACGGATGTGGGACTTGTGTCGCTAGCAAACATAGGGTGTTTGCAGAACATAGCGGCAGTGAACACGAGGGGTCTAAGCCCGAGTGGAGTATCAGCAGCGTTGGTGGGGTGTGGAGGACTAAGGAAAGTGAAACTGCACGCTTCCCTCAGATCATTACTTCCTCCGACTCTTATAAACCACATGGAAGCTCGTGGTTGCGCCTTCCTGTGGAAAGACAATAACAATAATACACTTCAGGTACTGTTTTATTTGCTTTATATGTACTAGTAAGTAACTTTTAAAGAAAAGAGCTGATCGGTCATCTCTATTTGATAATATGGTAATAACAATTGTAAAAAGACTTGGAACAGGCGGAGTTAGATCCCAAGTACTGGAAGCTACAGCTGGAAGAAGATAACCTTGTGCCTTAGAGCAAAGTAGCACAAGTGTTGTAACTTGTGAAAAAACATTCTCAAGGGGAACGACCAGAGACAGAGAGGGCCCCCATTGTTGGGATTTAGAAAGAGGAGCTAAGCTGGAATTTTGTTGGTATTTGTAGCCCCACTATACACGGCACATCTTTATGCCTCTCTTCCTATTTTGACATTTTTTTCTGCGTGTGCGTGTAATGAAATGAGTTAATTTTTAATGGTTCTATCAACTTGGCTCTGTAGTAGGGCCCGCCTTTTCATTTCTTAAGGGGGCTTATTCGGAAAGACCGTGAATCCTTGGGCCTATTAATGGCCCACGCCAGCTTCACACCACCTTCACCGGAAAAAGAAAATGTGTGTCAGCGACTCGATGTAAGCTACCACCAACCACCTCACATCTCTCATGCACTAACGGCTACTGCGCCTTTCGGTGCGCCCGCCACTTTCTCTTTCTTTTTTCCACAAACCACCATCTATTAAATTCGTCGGAACTGTAATGATCATCGCTTATATGAACAGAAATTTATATGTATTCTGATTCTTTTGTGAAGGAGATTCACCTTTCAATAACATTTCAGTCCCAAAAGTATCACCGGCAAATGATGCCATCAAATTTTAATCTTATTTTATCAACCAATCATTAAAGATAAACCAGATGATTACACCTGTGCTTCTTTTTCTTTCTAATTTGGCTTGATTACGGAACCGCCCAAAACTATAACATTACTGCTTTCCTGTAATAATTGTGTATTTCCTTAATTAAATGCACCTGAAAATAAGAATACTATTATATCACAGCATCTCCATTATATGATTGTAAACGAATTTGATCATAATACAGCTACATGTGCTTTCTCTCACCAAAGATATTTAATTATATTGAGAGTGAACCCAATTTGTAGTCAACCAACCATGTTTTCTTTGGTCAAATCATTACTGCCAATGCAAGCATTCATAAAGTAAAAGATTCAAATAAAAGAGACCATAAATCTTTCAAATACTAGTAAACATTTAGTATCACGTCTAAATTAAGGGTGGTTTAATTATTTGGCATTGGATCCACAAAACTTTAACTTAAAACAATTTGTGCAAATTGCGATATCTGCCCCCATTAGTTACACTTTAATTGCGATTTAGAGATTAAAGAGAGTCAGCGTGGCAGTATAGAAAATAAAGCAGAAAAGTTGCCCTTGAACGCAAAAAGACACAATTCGCCGTTTAATCCGCGTAGATAGAGAGAGAGAGAGAGGGGGACGCGGTAGCTTTTATCTTTATCTGTCTTTGCTTTTAGATTTCCATGATATGTTGTCTCTCTCTGTTTCCTCCACCACCGCATAGTTAAGTGAGTCGCCGTTTAATCGTCATCGGAAAGCTATAGAATAAGTATGCGCTTTATTTGCCGGTATCCTCCTTTGAAGAGTCGGATCTGTAATTTGTCAAGTGTTTTGAGCAGCCTAATCGGAGCAAATCACACCTCTGCTCGTTTCTCCTCTCGTTAGTCTGTCTGCTTCCGATTCCTCAGATTCAGGCTTTCCAATTAACAACAGCGACCTATTCTTTCGTTCTTTTTTCTTCTTTCTTTTATTTGGATTGTAAAGTAGTTTTTTCAATTAGAGAGGAGTTATGGAGACTTCGATGGGGAAGCCGAGCTTCTTGCGGAAAATAATGGTTCGAGTGCTTCTCTTGGGCCTTGTCATGATCCTTGTTCGTTTTGCTTACGTGGTCACCATCACTGGTGAATCGTGCAACCGTGGAGACTTCTGCTTCTTCTCTCTCCCTCAGGATCTCAACCTCGTCATCTCCGGCTCTGCTTCCGGCTCTTCTGCCATCAGATCTACCTCCTCCTCTGCCGATGGCCTCTACACCTCCAAGGATTGGATCCAATCCGTTCAGTTCTACTCCTCCATCTTTCACGATCTCATCGCCGACGGTTATCTCTCCCCTGAATCGAATACTCTGTGTGTAGAGACGGCTACAGGGCAAGATGTTTTCTCCCTCAGAGAGATTGGTGTGAAGAACTCCATCGGCATCTCTAAGAAAGCTTACAGGCCTTTGGTCGTTAGAGGCGAGGGTCACGCTATACCTTTCAAGGACAACACCTTCGATTTCATCTTCTCCGGTGGTGGCCGTCTTGGGAAGTCGTTGAAGCAGTTGGAGTTTGCCGACGAGATCACTCGGACCCTGAAACCCCAAGGGTTTGCGGTGGTTCATGTTGGAGCCACAGATACGTACAGTTTCAATTCATTCCTTGATTTGTTTAATTCTTGCAGTTTGGTTAAGATGCGTGATTTAGACGGCGGCGGCTTTGATTCCTCCTCCATGCCTCATATCAGAGAGTTTGTTATTCAGAAGGTTGCACACCAGACGATGAAGAATTCTGGTGCTGGTGCTGGTGATGGCAAGTGCTGGATCCCTGGTTACAAGAGAGACTTGATTCGGGATGCTGAGCCTCTCATTCCAGAGGAGCCTCTTAAGCCATGGATTACTCTCAAGAGGAACATTCAAAATGTTAAATATATCCCTTCCATGGTTGATATTCGTTTCAAGAGTAGATACGTTTACGTTGATGTTGGTGCCCGGAGCTACGGATCAAGTATTGGGAGCTGGTTCAAGAAACAGTACCCCAAGCAGAACAAGACTTTTGATGTTTTCGCCATTGAAGCTGACAAAGCCTTCCATGAGGAGTATAAGAAAAAGAAGAAGGTGCAGCTTTTGCCCTATGCTGCCTGGGTCAGGAACGAGACTTTGTCCTTTGAGATCAATCACGATCCAGGCAAGGAAGTGGAACCCAAAGCAATGGGCAGGGGGATGGGCAGAATCCAGCCTGTTACAAAATCTTCCTCCAGCTTAGCAGGAGAGGTGAATCTGATTCAAGGCTTCGATTTCGCTGACTGGTTAAAGAAGACTGTGAGAGAGAGGGACTTTGTTGTGATGAAGATGGATGTTGAAGGAACCGAATTCGATCTGATCCCAAGGCTGATCAAGACAGGAGCTATTTGTCTAATCGATGAGTTGTTCCTTGAATGCCATTACAACAGGTGGCAGAGATGTTGTCCTGGTCAAAGAAGCCAAAAGTACAACAAGACTTATAACCAATGCTTAGAGCTCTTCACTACGCTCAGACAAAATGGGGTGCTTGTCCATCAGTGGTATTGATGGTGCACTGTCTCCTTCTTTCTTTCATGGCTAGGGTTTATTTCCAATCTATAAATGTACCTTTCTTCTTCTTAAAATACAAACAAGGATATTGTACGTTTCTTCTATTCAAAAAGAAAAGAACAAAATACTCTTCGTGTCTGTTTTAAAGTTCCCTTTTCTGTAACAAGTTTAGCTGGAAATGGAAAAAAGTTTGAGTTTCTCTTCACCTCTCTTGAATTTATATATTGTGATGACCTAGTTCTATACAACTTTTGTTTGTGATGTTTTGTCTCTTCTTAGATACTTTACTCTGGAAGAATGGCTGTAACTGGAGCAATGCAAAGCCTTGAATCAGGTAGGTATGGTCATCTCTACCTTGTCATTTTATCTTCTTTCAGGGGTATGGATGTTTCATCTAAGTTGTCAGCCGTCCTTTCTGGAATTATAGCCCTGACACCTTTACGCTATCTTGCTTACAAAATTTTCAGGGTGATCGCCAACTTGGGAGATTCACGAGCTGTTCTTGGCACCCGTCGAAGCAAGAACAATCTCAGAGCTGTCCAGCTCACGGTTGATCTGAAACCCTGTGTCCAAAGTCAGTATCTTCTTCATCAGACCCCCTTTTTCCGCTATAAACTCTAAACAATAGACCTCTTTTTAAAGTATTAAATATTGAGGTGGGCATTAAGAAAAAGAAGTAGTCTGATGATAGTATCATGCAAAGGAAGGGTGTTTTCTATGGAAGAGAACCTGATGTGTATAGAGTGTGGATGCCTGATGACGATTGCCCTGGACTTGCAATGTCGAGGGCTTTTGGTGGCTTCTGCCTTAAAAGACTATGAACTTGAGAACTTCCCACTGCATTCCTGAGGTCTTTTGCAGAAAAGTCAGTAGGGAAGACGAGTTTGTGGTTCTAGCCCCCGATGGGGTAAACCAACTTCAGACTTGACCGAGTTTCAGTCTTGGTACAAATATGCATTGGGAGAAAACATACTCTCTTGAAAGACTTGTATTGTGATGAACAGATTTGGGATGTTTTGTCAAATGAAGAAGTGGTGAAGATAGTAGGAGGCTGTAAGGACAGGCCAATGGCAGCAGAGACGTTGGTTCAGAGAGCAGCTCGGACATGGAGAACGAAGTTTGTAGCCTCTAAAGCTGATGACTGCGCCGTGGTGGTGCTTTACCTGAACCACCGGCCATGCACAAGACAAGGAAACTTGAGCCGAGCAGTATCGACTGTTTCTGGGAGATCAGGTAAGAGCAATAGCGGTTGTTATTGAGTTGCACCATTGAGTCTACCGCAAAAGGTTTCATAGTAGGATGAAAATCATTGTTATTACTAATCTTCTATAGTAAAATTCGAAATGTTTGAACCTGTTGCGTGTGTGTGTGTTGTCGATGCTACTCAACATGAAGTTTTAGTTGTGTATAACATAACTTCTGTTTCTCTGTTTTGTTTGATGAAGCAACTGAAAAGATAGAACAATAGTATAGAGGACTTCACAATCTTTCAAAAAAAAAAAAATAGAGGACTACAAAACAGTAGATAAGCTTAATGGACTTTTAGCCTTCTGGTTCAGCAACCTCAGATTTTTTTTCTTTCTACAGGATGCATCTGTTTATAGACATGCAAATGTTTACATAGCTTATATAAAACCAAATTAAAACAAAAAAATGATTATATAAAATCTCTTTAGGTTTCAGCACAACAAAATGGTTTGTATTTAAATGATAATCTCTAAGAAATGTATCACTAGTCAGTTTCTTGGATTATATAAATTCTTATGAGTCTCTAAACAAAAAAAAGGATGTACAAATCCATAAACACACAAAAAGAGAAAGAAAAGAGAGATCATTGGTGGAGAGCGAGAACAGAAACAGAGAGCTGGAGATCTCTGGAGATCAACAAATCACCAAGCTCTCCTAATTCCTTGAAATTGCTCCATTCTGACAATCCTTCCAACATCAAAAGACCCTCTTCGTGTCTTATCCCAACCATCATCACATCGAAGTCATCTCCTTCCTTCCTAAGCAAATTCAGCAGTTCCACCGCTTCCTCTATTCTTACCTTTTTTTTCACAAACACATACATTTATGGTTTGTTTTCTTCTTAAACAAGAAACTACTAAGCTAATTAAACCTTCTAGCTAGGGTTTCTTTACCTCTCTGAAGGTGATGTTATTATCAGAATTCTCTTTGCGGAACATGTTGATGACTCTCATGTCGTGACTTCTCTCCACCATGTCTCGGAGCGGAGAGACACCGTTCTGATCCACCAGCCGGAAGACATGAAGCTCCACGCTCGGATGGTATGCTAAACGTGTAGCATACGCAAGCATTTCGCGGTCATCTGGTCCGCCTATGAAGATAGCACATATATTGATGCAAAGCTTTTGGATGGGAACGAACCTGAAATCAGGGAGCCTCCCTCGCTCTATGAAGAGCGCGATGGAGCACGGACATGTTTGCAGTAGATTCCTACACAACAGCCTCTCCCACGACTCGATCCCGGCATCAAGGGTTAGGACCACAATATCTGTCTCCTGGTCAAAGGCTATTGTACAAACGTCCTCGTGCATCGTCTTCCGCGGTGCCACCGCCGTAAAGCACTCTATCAGCACTGTCTCCTGTCGCACACAAAAGTATATATTCTTTAATTTTCCTCTTTTTATTAAGTTACAAAATGTGGTTAAGTAAATAAAATAATGCATGCATGTACCGGATTACTCCTCTCGTAGTTGTGGAAGGCCTTCACGATCTGGTCTCTTGGACTAGGCACGATGAAGGGACTTATCTCTTGCGTGTGATGAATGAGAAGAGGAAGACTATGGTTATTCAGCTCTTCCAAGTTCACAGCGAAGACGGACAGAGGAGATCCGATGACTGGACGAGTGAGTTCGACGAGATCCAGCACCGGACGCACCGCCTCGCGCTGCCGGAAACAAGTGACGATTCTCAAGGGGGCCTCGATTCGACAGTGTTGAACTGTACGTCTCTTGTAAGGGTTGCGTTTGCTCATTGTTTGGTACACTTTCTTGACAATCACTATGAGAATTGTTGAGTTTACCATTGCTGACATCACCATTGCTCCAAATGATTTCTTTGATATTTTCTGCAGCCCTTAGAACAAAAGTTTAAAATCTATTGTCATTTACCTCTTGTTCAGTTTTTTCTTATTGACCTAGCTAGAGAATTAAGCAATCATGCACCGATCGTGTGCATGCATGGTGATGTGAACCATATAGCTTATATGTTCCAACACTAGCATGCATGATATGATATGATTGAACCTTTGTGCATTAATTAATTAATGCATGCAGGTAGGGGTTTAATTAATTGTACCCTGTAATTGAAGTTCTGTTTGTAGATTTGAACATCGTAAATTCCTTGGATATTGACGATACACCCAACAAGAATTGCGTGCCAAAGTGGCACATTATAGTAAAGGGAAGGCAAGGCACTAGCCAAGACTTTGGCGAACCGGACCATGCTAAAAAGAAGCTCATAGCGGATAACATCTCCAAAGGAAAACAGAGAGAGATCGATGTTGTAGCCAATCCCTATGATGTAGCAAGGCATCAAGAAATACCAGATGAAGCACCCCATTTTTTCTGAGAGTCCTGTTCCAAGTGGCGGACGTTTCGGGGTGGCTAGCCCCAAGACCACCGCGCCAAAGAAGTAAGGTAATCCCACAAATTCCGACCATAGAGCGCAGATGAAAAGCAAGACACATATAACTGAGAGATATGAGGCCTTTAGAGAGTGTCCTTCCGGTGTTTTTCTCATCATCCACTGCATTATCGGTCGGAACACGTATACTATTGCCACTATCATTAGCATCTGCAGTTATCACTAAATTTTAAATTAAATTTTATAATACACAAATGTACATAAACTTGGTGGTACGTACGTACCTGTGCGGCAGACAAGAAATAGGCGCGATTTTTATCGGCTGTCTCAGCGTTTAGGTCAAGGGCGATTTTAAGCATGAAAAAACACCAAGAGAGGCAGTCATGCACCATCATGGAGGCAAGTGCTAACCTCCCTGGCTCGGTGTTCAGCATCTTTAGGCTCGATAACACTCCGTAAACCACCTGGAAGAACATGGTGGACTCCACGATTGCCACGTGATTAAACTCCACCAGAGGTATCCCGGCGGGTCTACCTCCCAGCCCCTTGGAGATCAAGAAGGCCGCCAATTGCCCCCATATGAAAGGTATGAGGAAAAGTACGATGCCGTTTATGAATGCTAACTTGCCTACTCTCTTTATCATCCTGGCGTCTACTTGACATGTTGTGACGTAGCAAACGAAGAGGAAACATATGGCCTCGTAGGATTCGATTATGTACATGCTTCTTGGGTAGAAAAATGTCGACATGTACTGTTTGTTACGTCCTATAATCGATGGTCCTAAGCAGATCCCAGCCTGCATGTATGCAAAGCATACTATAATAACTAAGGAATGTTTTATGATGATAAAGCAAAAACAAAGATTATATATATATAGAAGTATGTATACCAGGATCTGAGCGAGGAATGCAAATTTTCCGAAAGGCCGGAGAAGAAACTGGAAAAACATGGAAACTAGGGAGACCACAGATATCTGAAGGAGAAGAAGAGGAAGAGCATACTTGACCGGATTCTCTCCATGCCCAATCCCCATCGAGTTTACACCTGTCCATCTCTCACAAATCCAGTCTACTCCTCCGTAGCTATAAGTTTTTGTTATATTTTCCATTTTCACCTTCTACGTGTTTCCCTTAAGAGGCAAAGCATTGAAACAAAAATATTGTAAGACTTCAAGACGAAGAAAGTATAACTATTCTTATTATGTTTCTTTTCTCTATATTTAGGGGTTTAATAATTAATACCGATTATCCTCTTGTTCCTCATTTCTCGTGAGTGGTCATCCTACTTTTAAGGTCTCTATATCTCTGCTTATGTGTGGTACAAAAAACTTGGGCATGATCACATAATCATATTATAGCTTATGTGTGGTATAAATGTAATAGCAGTTTCTTACAAGCAAATTTCAAATACTAACATTTTTAGAAATATATATATCTGATCTAATTGCATTTGTTTTTAATATAAAATTTATTATTTTTAGAATTATCTGGATAATCAATCATTTGATTCAATTCTAAATATATATATATATATATATATATATATATATATATATACATATATACATATATACATATAAGGGTGGGCGTTCGGGTTCGGGTCAGGTATTTCGGGTTTTCGGGTATTTCGGTATTGGGGTTTAGAACCCGTTCGGGTATTTTTACATATCGGGTCCGGGTTCGGATATTTAGATTTTGAAAAAAAAATTTTAAATTCTTAATTACTTAAGTTTCATGTATTTAAAATTTAACTATTAACTTAACTGTTTTTTAAATGTTTAATAAGTTAGACGATTAATAAGTTTGAAAATAAATTATTGAAAATAAAAATCATTATTTTGGTTATTTTTTCGAATTTTGGATGCAAATTTTGTTTAAAGTATGAAATAATAAGCTTAACATGCATTTTAAATGAGTAACAAATTATTCTTTTTACAATTATATCTATATTATCTGATATTAAACTATATATAACATAATTATAAATAGTTTTAATAAAATGAGACAAAATAAACTAGGAATAAATAGGTATATATACATATGTTCGGTTATCTTCGGATACCCGTTCGGGTTCGGGTATTACCCGTTCGGGTTCAGATATCCAAACTCTCCTAACTCAATACCCGTTCGGGTATTTTGGTACTTCGGTTCGGATACTTCGGGTCGGTTCGGGTACGAGTTCGGGTATCGGATAAAGTGCCCACCCCTATATACATATATTGGTTCTATCTTCTATGGTTATAGAGTCGACACAAAAAAAATATTTGGAAAAACAAAAAGAAACAGTTTGTAGTCTTAAAATAGAAATATGTATCCTCTTCCCCCAGCTCAGCAAACTCTCTGTTTCCTCAGTTATCAATTAGCATTATGCTGAATAAAACATTTGAACCCTCCAAAAAAGAGGAAGAAGATGATAGTCCTTTTTAAAAAAAAAAAACTTCTATAACTAGGGCCTTTATTTATTTATTTTTAAGCTCCGGGTCTTGTTTACCATTGAGCCCTGCCCAAACTACATGAAAATGTCATAAATGTGTTGTCGTCGGAGGTAAAAGAAGTGATAGAGAGAAGGCTCGATTTGAGAGCCATGGAAAAGTTCCATCGAGACACCTTCAACAAAACAACACGTCTCCTTGGGAGAGGTAAAGATAGAGGAAGCTAGTGAACAGGTGAACCTACTGAGGGAGGAAGGGAACAGTTACGATCTGATAATGGTAGGAATCAGACACGAAGCATGCTTCCAAGTGCTTCAAGGCTTATCGGTGTGGAGTGAGAACGAGGAGCTTGGAGAGATTGGAGATCTGCTCATCTCCAGAGATCTCAAGCTCACTGCATCTGTTTTAGCCGTACAACAGCAGCTCTCTTCTTTTGTCGATGAGGGTTTAATAGCTTAACAATGTTTTTCTTTAGGAAAATGTGAGAAAACTCCTTTGTGTTTTTATTTTATTTATATCACACACATTATACATTGATTGATCTTTTGACCAACAAACTCGTTTTACATAAGGACCACCTTATCTGATTAGTCTTCATTGTCCCATAGATCTGCCACGCTACGGAATGGACCTTGGCTCTTGTTGACGAATATATCTTCACCGTCCATCACTCGTTTCTGCATTAAAATTGTGAAACATAGGATCAAAACAGAGTAAATAAGCAAAAACCTTAAACGCCAATATTATGAAGATGTGCTCTGTTTCTTACTCTGCTTTATTTTTCACTAACAGAAAAGAACCAGTTACAAGAAATCAGAAGCAGACAGCCAGATAAGTGCTCTGTACTACTCTAATTATGTTTCTAGCCACTACCATTAAAGAAAAAACGGTAACAAACCTAAGAAGATTCTGGTCGGTAAAAAAAAAGGGGTTAAGTTTACCTGGTCACTGATACTGCTGAGAGCATCAAAGTCTTGGTCAGGGATCACCCAGTCAAAAACTTTGATGTTCTCCTTGATCCTCTCTGGATTCGACGACTTGGGGATGACACTTGTTCCTCTCTGTAGACCCCATTTCACTAGTACCTGACCAGGGGTCTTGTTCAGCTTCTTGGCTATCCTATCCACTGTCTGATCGTGTATCAGATCTCTGCCGCCTTCTTGAGATCCCAGCGGCGAATAGGCCTTGCAAGTTTCATTAATACCACTACCATTATCAAATCAGTTTGCCTAGTAAAGTCACCGATGTGCTAAACGAATATTTTATTAGGATGACAGCAGATGCGGTGAATCTCTCTTTGACATGAAGAAAGAATCACATTGAGTTTGTGTACTTACTGTAACATGGATACCACTCATTTTACAGAGTTGGAGCATTTGGTCATTTCTCCAACCAGGATGCATTTCCATCTAATAAAAGCAAAACGTATTCAACTATTTGTTTTTTTTTTTTATAAATAATTGAAGACTCCTGTGATATTGGGGAAAACATATACCTGACAAACGGAAGGGATCAGTTCAGCGAACCCTAGCAGCTTATTGAGCTTAGTGAGGGAGAAGTTACAAACGCCAATGCTCCTGACAAGATTATCCTTGACAAGCTTCTCCATTTCTCTCCAAACACCTTCCATGTCAAACTCAAGGACGTCCCCTGCCTTTGGTGGCTTACTGGCTCCTTCTCTTAGTCGGAAAGGCCAGTGAATCTGCACCAACATTGAATTTGTGAAGACTATAAAGAAAGACACGGTAAAAAAAAAAAAAAGAGTCTACAACTTGATTGGAAAATACATACCAGGTAAAGATCAAGGTAGTCTAACTGAAGCTCTTGAAGGGTATTCTGCAGAGCAGGACGCACTCTCTCAGGTGATAACTCTGTACACCTTTACTTACGCACGCGTGTCAGAAAAACAAAATTAGCAGTGGCGACAAAATAAAATGAGAGTGAAGTAGTAAAAAAGAAAGGGAATAGGTGTTTACCAAAGCTTGGAGGTGACGAAGAGGTCCCTCCTCTCAATACCAGCGTGCATAGCCCTCTTCATCCCTTCACCGACCTTGTACAACAACAAGATTAACGATTTGTGTACATCTAAACTACAAACTGTCTTCCATTCGATAAATAGAGAGAGAGAGAGAGACCTCATTCTGATCACCATATTCCCAAGCAGTATCAATGTGCCTATAACCACCCTGCAGAATCCACACAGAAGAGTGAAAGATTAAACGGACTGCTTCTTTGGTTTGTTTGTAGCAAAACCATAGAATTAATTATAAAAGAAATGAGACCTCGACGAGTGCAGTGAAAACGGCGTGGGAGGCTTGAGAGCCAGATTGCCAAGTGCCGAGTCCAACGGCCGGGATTTTGTGGCCGCTCCAGAGCCGAAACGACTCCGTCATCTGACCTTCCGGCGTAAACGTCGTATGTGCCATTCTTTATCTCTACCTCTACCTCTTCTCTAGTAGAGTTGTACATACACAGAAGCAGGCCCTATTTAATGCAGAAACAAGCACCGCCACTTGGCAGAAGAGAGCCATCGAGGAGCCGCGTGTCTTGGTGCGAAAGTGCCAACCTCTTCATTTTCTCACTAAGCAGATATACTCAACAGCGCCACCATTTTTAGTGGTATTTATAATCGTTCAAATCTGGGCCTGAAAAAGAAAAATAGAAACGTTGGGCTTGGGCCGCCTCGAATAATAGAAGGGCTTTAACGATGGAACAATTGTCATTATGCTTTACCAAAACAAGAAAACTAGGGGATCGAGTGAGTGATAGAGAGTCAAACAAACAAAAGAACAGAACAGAAAAGAAGATGCCGTGCCTTAACATCTCCACCAACGTTACCCTCGACGGCGTCGATACCTCTTCCATCCTCTCCGAAGCTACCTCTTCCGTCGCCAAAATTATCGGCAAGCCTGAGAACGTATTTTCTCCCTTGATTTTACTTTTTTTTTTCTGCTATATCCTCCTCGTTTAGGGATCTAGGGATTGTTTATTATCATTTGGTTGAACCCTTAGTAATAATTTTAGTCAGTGATATTTGACCGTTGATCTGTCCTATTTTATTATTAAACATCTGAGGCGATGTTCTTTACTGTTTCTACAGTATTAGTGTTCACTTGTATTAGATAAATATGTTAATTTGGATTTGGGGTTCTGTCTATGCATATTACTTGCTTTCCCATTTTCTTTTTTCTTGTTGTTCATCACAATTTAATTGCAATTTTTTTTCATGGTAATTTTGGGCAGTATGTGATGATTGTGTTGAAAGGCTCAGTACCTATGGCATTTGGTGGCACCGAGGACCCTGCCGCTTATGGTGAACTTGTCTCCATCGGTGGCCTTAATCCCGATGTCAACAAGAAGCTCAGCGCTGCGATCTCCGCCATCCTAGAGACTAAGCTCTCAGTACCCAAATCTCGTTTCTTCCTCAAGTTTTACGACACCAAGGCAAGCAAGCACTTTCCCTCGCTGTTTGATGCAGTTAACATAACATAATGAACCACATGTCTTTTTGATGATTTTTTTTTTTTTTTTGGTCTTCACGCATCCATGCTTCTCATTTTCCCATTCTTCACTGTCTCTAGGCCCATCAAAGTCAAGAATATGCACAGTGTTTACACGCTTTACACCAGCACTACTAGTTCATGAATGAATAGGGAACCAAACTAAAAAACATCTTCTTGTGTAAGTTCATCATCATTAGACAGACCTCTTAACTTTCTTTTACTCTAAAAAAAGGTTTAGCCGTAAACAAGTTAGATCATCCGTTGCAACCATTTGGAGAAGTCTACATCAGTTTTACAAGCACACTTTTTTTGTTTGTTTTGAGTTATTCACGAGGGTTTAGCTCCACATTAGTAGCCCCCGATCATTCAACATGTTTTGTTTATGCCCATAGGCCATCCTGAGATGTCATATTTATTTTCTTGTCTGGTTACTTGGTGCAGGGATCCTTCTTTGGTTGGAATGGAGCGACTTTCTAGTTCCGTGGCAGCTAAGAGGTTAACGTGATTGCCATGCAATCTATGAACGTGTGTGTGGTACTAGTATTCAAGCTTCTCTCGTCGAACGACATTTAATGGTTTATGATGCTACAGCTCATCTTGAAAGATAAATGAGATGATCATATACTATCAATTTGGCTTAAGAGTAAAATTGGATTTGAGGATTCTGATAAAATGTTTGTTTTTAAATGATGTGGGATAGAAAGAAGATTGCTCGAATAAATTTACGTAGGGCATTGGTTGATAATATAGTTTTATACAACTTTAAATATTATAGTCTCTCACTTGAACGTTTTCATTGCTAAGTAATCTTGGTAATCAAGATGCATAAAATATTATTACTAAAAAAAAGATGGATTATCTGTGGGATTAAAGTTGAAAAACGCGCAAAGTAATTGTCTATAAAATGCGTAATACAACGCGTGAAGAAGGTAAGAAACAGTCTGGATCTGTAATTTCTTCATCCGACCTTGGGATATTTAAATACATAGCCGATTTCCGATCTTAATCTAATCTCAGAATGGTATCGTCAGGATCTCACGTGCTTCCGGTTTCGACGAGCATCCCTCAGCCCCCAACCTTAACCGCTTTGGCGGAATCACAGCCTCCAGCCGTCCGTGCATTTGTGAATCGCTGCACTGAAACGGTCCGTGATAGTCTGTCCCGTAGCCGTCCATGGTCGGAGCTCCTCGATCGATCCGCCTTCACCAAGCCGGACTCTCTTTCCCACGCTGCGTCGCGACTCCGGAAGAATTCCTCTTATTTCAGGGCGAATTACATCTGCATCATATCTCTCATCCTCGCTTTCTCTCTTCTCGCCCATCCCTTCTCTCTCATCCTCCTCGTCTGCCTCGCCGCTTCTTGGCTCTTCCTCTACCTCTTCCGTCCTGCCGATCGACCTCTCATCCTCTTCGGCCGATCTTTCTCCGACCTTGAAACTCTCGGTGTGTTAATCCTCTCCACAATCGCCGTCATCTTCTTCACTAGCGTCGGATCTGTACTCATATCCGCTCTCATGGTCGGAGTTGCGACGGTCTGCGTCCATGGTGCCTTCAGAGCTTCCGATGATCTCTTCCTTGACGAGCAGGATCCTGCTGCCGCCGGGTTTCTCTCATTCATCGGTGTCCCTTCGTCTGTACCATCCGCCTCATCAAGGCCTTCCGCCGTATAATGACACTTGTCAGAATCTGATCTTTTTTTTTTGGGTGAAGATTGTTGTAAATGTCATTTCTCTGTGAACCATCTCGGGCCATTGTTGCAATGTAATTTCTTCATTTAGAAGATCTTTCTTTCATTTTTTTTTTTAAATAAAAAGCCAAGTCAGCATATAATAGTAAACATTTTTTTGAAATAAAAAGCAAATACAGTAATAGTAAACGTTCATTGCTGTTTGTAGAAACGACTACCGTTTAGCTCTTGTGCCGTTTTAGCCGTACCTAAAACGCCGTGTATCTCACTTGCTCAAAGCGCTGCGTAGTAATATTGGGCCTAACAGTGACATAATTGTTTAGCATGATAATCTCTGTTAAGCCCGTTTTGGTAGAATTAAGCCCATAGTCAAGACTGCACGCCTCATATCCTCGGCCCATAAGCCTTTTTACTTTTCCCGCCGTTCCGAAATCTTTTGATTTTTGATTGATTTTGGGAAACAATTATCTTTCTCAAGAAGAAAATTAATTTCCGCAATTGTTTCTTCAGATTTATAGATAGAGGATAATAGTTAAGCGCCCAGTTTATGAGATGTTCGCTGTATAAGTCGAAATCCCAGCACTGAAGAAATGTCGACGTGGATGTTATTTCCCGATACGAGCGGCGATGATTTCCGGAGGGAAGTTGCAGGTCGGATTCTCCAGTCTGGATCAGAAGATTCTGCTCTAGAATCTACAACTCCTCTACCTTCTATGAACGATCTCTTGCACCAAGGTTTTTGGTTAATTGTTTTTTTTTTTGGTTGTTTTATGACGTGGGAAGCTGATGAGATTAATTGTTTTTGATGAAGGATGGTCGAAGCTTATACAAGGGGATGAAGCGAAGCTTGGGAATTCTGTAGCTCTAAAAGAGTCTTCGATTGCTAAATCCAAATCAGATGAACATCATCATCATCATCCAGGTACCTCAGCCACAACTTTGATTCGCTAGGCTAGTCAACCCTGAAGCTTATCTTCTCTTTGATTTTCTTTTGTGTGATTTGCCTCTATCATCTATTTCCTTGTCTGCAATTTCGATTTAACCTTAAGATTTGTTTAGAGATGTTTAGGTGGATTACATATTAAGATTACCACCCACCGAGACATTGGTTTTGGAAAATCTTTTGAATGTTCTTTGTTGCTTGCTACTCGTTAGAATTGCACACCACAGGATCTTCCAATCTCCAAGTGGATTCAGCTGGACCTTTGCCTATGTTCAGGACCGCCTCAGGGCATTCCGTCCCATTGAAAGACTCTTCAATTGCCAAAGCTATGTCTATTCTTGGCTCTGATATCACTCACTCAGGTCCCTTCTTCTTATCTCCTCTCCTCTATACTCCTTTTTCACTATTTGTCCGTTTTGTTATTCCATTCTAGCTCTAGCTTAATTCTTTGTGCTTGTTTTACACATTTTCTTGAGTTCGGTTGTTATCAGCTGGTAGTGAATATAATTTGTTAAGGGAATTACCCTTTTTATAGTTGATATGTTACTAAGCTTCTATTTGATTGTGTAGACAACGTTCCTCTCAGGGAGACTGTGTTTGGTGATCCCAACTCTTTTTTCCAGACAGCATCTAACAAGAAGGTTATTGTATCTTCTGCCGGTCTCTCAAGAGCCAACGCATTGTTAGGACTAGAAGAAGATAATTTTAATAGATTTAACCACGTGAAGCGGTTCAATTCTTCCCACCAGCAACGTCTGTGGTCTCACTCAAAAACTCATGCTACAGGGGTTCAGCATCATTCACAAACTCCAGGAAAATACGAGGCCCATGTAACTGGGAAGATATCAGAAAATTTATATACATCTGCAATGGTGCCTCCAACAAAGTTTCAGACTGCTGGTGGGAAAACGTTGTCAGTGTCAGTCCAGGCACTGAAACGTGCCAGAAACCTTCTCGGAGACCCGGAGTCAGGGACTTTCTTTGATGATGTAGCAGCAGGTGATCAGTTTGCTACACCACAGAAAGTTCAAAGGTTAGCTGATATTGCTATACACAATAGAAATGCCAACACTGGTTATAATGCTCATGAAGGAAAGACAAGCAACAAGCATACGGCAACTAGTTTTGTATCTCCTCTTCGGTCATCTTCAAAGCAATTCAGATCAGTTAAAGTTGAGGATCTAACTACAGGGGGTAATTTGATCAAGAATTTTGATGCGGCTGTTGATGAGACAGACTGTGCTCCGAATATCGCGAAACTTGCTACATATGGACCATCAAATAACAGGCCTTCAGCATCATATACGGCAGTGACTAATGCCAAGGAAAACGGTTTCATTCCAATAGCTAAACAAGTTGGAAGGCGGGCTGGCCAGCCACTTGTCGATATAACAAATCGCAGTGATACAGCTTATGCAAACAATAAACAAGACGGTACCCAAAAGAAAAGACTGGGAAAGACAATCTTCGTTTCTCCTTTTAAAAGGCCAAGGAATTCCTCCTTTAAAACTCCTATACAGAAAAATGCTCAGCATGCTTTAAGTGGTAATAGATTCAGAAAACCTCATGTGATGTTTTGTTGTGACGAATTTTTGTGTATTTTCTTTAGTTGGCTCTTTAATCTTTTGTATCTTGTCTATGATCAGGTTTGTCTATCGTATCTTCTGATACACTTTATTCCAAAAAGGTGCTTTCTACAAGATATCCAGAAAGGTCTCCCAGAGTATATATCAAGGACTATTTTCGAATGCATCCAACAGTTACGACTAAGGTGTTAAGCTTGTCCCTTTCAAGTGATCTGGAGTTATATATACGTTTTTGTTTTCCGTTCACTTAAAACATACTTGCGGGCTGGTTTTAGATTAATTATGTGCCAGACCATGTCAGAAGAATCAAATCAAGTAATGCAGCCAATTATGTTTTCCGTGATGAGTCTTCCTCAAATATGGCTGGAGCTGAAACTTTTTTTCAAACGTTGGCTGCGTCTGGTGCTTCCCTACAACAAGCATCTAGAAAGTAATTTATCCGTCCCTTGAAATTGTTATAGTTGCCCAGCATATTGCTATATTATATCAGGGATGTTTTGTGAACGTTCTATTGAGTCTTGCATGTGATTCTCATTTATAGATAGACGGTGGCAAGAATTTCTGCACCTATTTATCGGTCACTGTATATGTGTTCTAGGTGGGTCATTAATCACTATAGGTGGATCGTCTGGAAACTTGCATGCTACGAGACATACTACCCAGTCAAATGCAGAGGAAATTTTCTGACTGTCACCAATGTTCTCGAAGAGCTGAAATACAGGTTTCGCAATCGTTCAACACAGCTCGTTGTCTACTGAGCTCATGCGAAATTTTAACATGGTTAATCTATCTACATAGATATGAGCGAGAGGTCAATCATGGTCACTGCTCTACAATCAAGAGGATTCTGAGTGGTGACGCACCAGCTTCTTCAATGATGGTGCTCTGCATATCAGCTATTAATCCAAAGACGGATAATGATTCTCAGGAAGCACTTGGTTCTGGTAGTGGCAGCAATGTGAAAGTAGAGCTCAGTGATGGGTGGTATGAAATTGCTATTGTTGTTTAGATACCAGTTTTCTTGTCTCATTTCCTCATCTTGTTTTTTAAATCACAGGTACTCCATGAATGCTGCCCTGGATGTCATGCTGACAAAGCAGCTCAATGCTGGAAAATTGTTTGTTGGACAAAAGCTTCGAGTAAGTTATTTTCCTGCAAGGGTTAAATATGTAGTTGGCAACACATTTTTGGTAAGGTCACTGACTTACAGCATGCTTACGTTCTTATTTCCTATCTCAAGATCCTTGGGGCAGGACTTTCTGGCTGGGCAACACCAACATCACCTCTTGAGGTTTCTTAGACTTCAAATTTTATTTGAGCTTTAGCATGTTGGTTGCTTCATGATTTCATCCAACCGAACTTCAGGCAGTGATTTCAAATACGATTTGTTTGCTGTTGAATATTAATGGGACGTACAGAGCTCACTGGGCGGACCGACTAGGATTCTGTAAGTAGCTTTGTGCTGTGAATCTCATTACATCCTCTAAGCTGTTCTTCGTAGTGACTGTGCATTCATATTGTTTTCCTTATATTGACTGTCTTGTATTCTCTTCTTCAAGGTAAAGAAGTTGGTGTTCCTCTGGCCTTTAACTGTATCAAGTGCAATGGGGGTCCAGTGCCAAAAACGTTAGCTGGAATCACACGAATATACCCTATCCTGTACAAGGAAAGGTCAATATAAATGTGTACCTTTTAATGCAATTTGGTCCCTTGTATACTTCTGGTAAAAACTTATTTGCTCGGCTTATACAGGTTAGGGGAGAGGAAGTCAATTGTTCGATCAGAGAGAATGGAAAGTAGAATGATCCAGCTGCATGACCAGAGGCAAGTTTCCAGTTACATTTATGTGATCAATTTGGCACATGCATCTCGTGTATATGGAGTGTCATGCGAAACTAACCAAAGCTAGAATGATTCTTTACATACAGTAATTTTAGGTTCGAAGTGGCATTGTTTTAGGACATACAACAATATTTTATATAATAGAAAACCTAATGTGCTTCTGAATACGGATGGATTAGCCAACTAGCTTTGTTGCTTAACTAACTTGAGCTTAAGATTTTAGTTCCTCTCATTCCCTACCTGTTTTTTTTTCCTGTTCGCCGTAGGCGCTCAGCTCTTGTTGAGGGTCTTATGTGTGAGTACCAGAGAGGACTAAATGGTGTCCACAGCCAGAACGACACTGACAGTGAGGAAGGAGCCAAGGTCTTTAAGCTGTTAGAGACTGCTGCTGAACCTGAACTCCTAATGGCAGAAATGAGTCTGGAGCAGTTAACATCTTTCACTTCATATAAAGCAAAATCTGAGGTAGAATATTGTTTGTATTTTTCTTATTAGATAGTTAAGCGCCAATTTAATTAACAGTTTTAGTTTCTAAACCTCAGGAAGCCAAGCAAATACAGATGGAAAATTCAGTGGCAAAAGCTCTGGAAGACGCTGGCTTAGGTGAAAGGG